TCATGCCAGGGATCCATCAAATTTCCTCAGACATCAGTGAGCTACAAATTCATTTTAGAGACTACGGTTATATTTATATGATTGTGTCAGTCTCATTGTTGCTCATTATCCTACTGTGTCTTGTTTATCTATGCTATGCCAAGATTTGCTATGTTGTACGGATTAGGAGATCCTCCCCTTCCAGGAGAACTGATGATGCTCAGGCATCTGTGAGGTTTATTCAATCTCCTACTCCTAAGCCTGCAATTTACCCTAGATTGGAGATGGACTCCTCCACAGGAATCTTGTCCATTCGCTGATCACTTTCTGAAAAGAAATTCGGCTGGAAAAGACAAACAAAAAAGAGAATCAGAGGCCAGAAATTCTTTTACAAATTTCTCTTATTGCCTTTTTACCCATATAAAAAACGCGGGTATGAAAAATGGCACTTTCTTTCTTTGACGCGATTTTTACATATTACGCGTTAAACATCTCTTTAAACGGATTAGTGTCCTCAAGGACCATTTCCCCTTTCTCGACGTTCTCGACGGGTTTATCCGTCTCTTCCAGCCCCAGCAGATCTACCACTGGTTGGACTTCTGGATCTGGCTGATCCTCCGGCGTCAGCATCTGCACCAGCTCCCTCATGTACGATGACTGTACAGAAAGAACAAAAGAAAAAAGCCCCAAGCAAAAGCATCAAAAATTATTGCATGCGCTTTTTGTAATTACATGCTATTTGTTTTACCTTGTCTAAAGGTTGAAACTCTTGGGGATCTAGCCCTGATATCTGCATAGTTCTGAGAGAAAACCTCAAACTCTTCATCATCAGAGTCTAGCCCATTAAAAAATATATTGGGCATAGACCCTACTATGCATTCCTTAACTTTAGCTTTATCTAGTTTCAAAATTCTTTTCTTTCTCTGTTTTTTTAATTGCATGCACAAAAAAGCAAAGCAAGCACAAAAGCAAAAAGCATTGTTAATCATTTTTTATTAAAACAAAAGAAAAATTGGCTAACCTTGTTCCTGATGAACTTGACGAGCCAAATCCTACTATGCATTCCTTAACTTTAGCTTTATCTAGTTTCAAAATTCTTTTCTTTCTCTGTTTTCAAAATGCATGCACAAAAAAGCAAAGCAAGCACCAAAGCAAAAAAGCATTGTTAATCATTTTTTAAAAAACAAGAGAAATATTGGCTAACCTTGTTCCTTATGAACTTGACAAGCCAGACCAAGAAGACAGCCAAAGATGTAGCCCCTGCACCTCCAAGGCCCATAAAGACCAGAACCATGGCCGTCCACGGGTCCACGTCCGCTTCGACGTGCGCAACACCATGTTTGATGTTGACCGTCACCTCCGGCGTCGACGACGGTGCCCTGATGACGTGCGGCACCTCTTGGGCCACTACGACGCTTTGTTGCGTCGAGGGCGGCGCTCGAACCACGAACGGCGTTTTGTTCGCCGGCACGTGGACGACCGCCAAGTTGGCCGTCGGCACCACTGGGCGAGGCTCATCTGTATATACAAAATTTTTATTAGAAAAAGGTGAAGGAACATTTTTTTTTGTCTTGGTGTTGGTACGATGGCGCCCTGATGACGTGGGGCACCTCCTGGGCCACCACGACACTTTGCTGCGTCGAGGGCGGCGCCCGAGCCACGAACGGCGTTTTGCTCGCCGGCACGTGGACGACCGCCAAGTTGGCTGTCGGCGCCACTGGGCGAGGCTCATCTGTACATACAAAATTTTATTAATATGGTGAAGGAAATTTTTGTCTTGGTGTTGGTCAGGTGTTGGATATGTGTGTTATGGTGTTATATGAAATGAGATGTGTATTATGAGTGTTGTTTTTGTAATATTCATGTCTGTGTGGAAAAGCTGAAAACAAACTCACCAACCACCGGCGGAACCGCCGCCGTCGAAATCTCCGGTTCGGGTGGCACGACCTCCTCGCACCACCTCCACGGCGCTACCACTCGATCCATCTCGGACCGACGTCCGACGCAGACCGTCGGCGACAGCAGCTTCACTTCCTACAAACAAAGATGGCTGTCATACTAGTTTTTCTCCATTTTTTGGAAACTCACCTTCAAGTCCGCCTGCCTGACGCAGTCCAGAAACAGCGTCGCTCCGACGAACGTCACGCGGCGCCCGTAGCCGCCGGCGCCCCTCACCTCCTCGCCGCACACGTCCCGGCACACGAACGCCCCGTCTTCTGGACCACAGTCCGCTCCAGCAGCCGCAACACCGACGACCAGCAACACCAGGATCCTCAGGAACGCCATCTGCGAAAATTTTCAAAAATTCTATTATTTCTGAAAGAAAATTTTTTTTTTGGGGACTCACTTTTCACTTGTTGAAGTTTTCCTTTGAAAAACTTGAAGATCCACAATAGCACGAAGTCACTGGTCAGTCGAACGATTCGCGAAACAATGTTTGAGGCCACC